CCCTGCCACATCCCTGGATCTGAGGGGGGGGGAGAAAGGGGGGTCCCCGCCGCCCTCTCCTTCACGGGCTTCCTTTCTTGCAGGACAAGAAGTACACGCTCACCATGGAGGACCTGGCGCCGGCCTTGGCCGAGTATGGCATCAACGTCAAGAAGCCCCACTACTTCACCTGACTGGGCTCCTGCCCTTCCGCTTCCTGGGTCCTGGGGTGCGGGTGGGGGGCTGGCGTTGGACTGCTTTCCTCACGGACAGGGGGGCGCGCCCTCTGCTCCTCAAAGATATGTGGGCTGTTCCACCATTAAAATGCTCCACTTCCTCCCCCACCCCCCTGTGTCTCCTGGACCATCTGTTCTGGGTTGGAACCCCACACGGGCCGGGCCGGGCTCGCGTCTGCTGATGGAGCAGGCCAACGCGAGGAGAGAAAGAGTTCTTTGGGGAAACTCAGTTCTTTGTTTTTGTTTATATCGCAAACCAAGGAATAGCTAGGGAACTGTGGGGCTTTCCCCACCCTGAGGCAACCGTTAAAAATAATGGAACGAGGAGCCTGCTCATTGCCCGCCCGCCAGTGCTTTTAAGGGAGCCTTTTATGTCCATACCTTTTGGACTGGGGGGGGGGATTGTAACATAGGGCTGCATCCTGCGTTTAGCTAGCAGTAGGTATTGTGGCAAAAGGAGTAAGTTTTCCTCATGCTCAGTTAAGCCAATTCCAGTTTATGCGAATCCTTTTCCAGGGATTTCTGCGTGTAGAAAGCTTGGATGTGATTTTTCATTCACTTGTCTTGGTGGCTATCTAGGGCTGTGCAGCTTGCCCTGCGTGTAGAAAGCTTGGATGTGATTTTTCGTTCCCTTGTTAGCAGTGGCTAACCAGGCTAGATCTTCTGGCTTCTGAGCTAGCTAGCGGAAGGAAGGAGAGTGAGCTGTGTATCCCACGCCAGCAACATGTAAAATTCAGGTGGTGTGTTAGATTTTGTACAGTGAGTACAGTTAGATTTTGCAAAGACAGTGATCTGTTAATTTGATAACTAAGTAATTATACTTTAAACAGAGCTTCCCAAGTTTTGGGACTTTGAAGAGTGGCCAAGTTGATTTCCATGTGACATTGGTCACTTTGAACTTGATTTCCATCACGGGGTCTCTTTAGGGAGGTGCGGAGATGGTTTCATCAAGAGGGAGCATGCTGTTGTGAAAGAGCAGCTGCTTTGTGTCAAGTCCCGGAAAGCCCTTCTGTGAAACCCTGCAGCAGTTCCAGCCATACTCGCTCTCCCCACTGTGGAAGGCCCTTTTGACACATGCCTCCCCCTCTCCCCAGAAGGGGAACTGGGCAGGCGCTCTACAGGCCCATCCAGTTTATGCGAAGTTTCTCTAAGTGGAGCGATGGGGGCATTACAGCTGCTGCAGGAGTTGCTGCCCACAGTGGCTCGTCAACAAGGCAAGGACTTAGAACTGGCTGCTGAGGCAGAAAAGGAAAAGGGAGGCGAATGGTAAGGGAATGCCATATGCAGGCAACAACCGGGACCACTTTTCACGCAACTCTAAGTCTGTTCTTCGGGATGAGAGGTTTTCTATCATGGGAACAACCCAGAAATTGGATTGTTGGACATGGTAGCAGGACGCCCATTTACAGGGCTATATATTTGTGAAGATTCTCAAGTCATCCAAATGAGGTTATCTGGAAGTTGAGTCATGGCAACTGGACTTCCTTCTTACTACCTTGAAACGTTTCACTACTCATCCAAGTAGCTTCTTCAGTCTGAAGCCCAGTTGCCGTGACTCAACTTCCAGAGTTACAGGGCTGTGGAGAAACTGTAACACTGCCCTAGCCATGAAAAGTGACAATCAAGGAAAAGGAAAACGAAGAAACATCTAGACAAGGATGGGTTGGCAGTACGTATCGGGTAGAAGGCTGCAGCTCTGTGGACCCTCTCCAGCTTCCTCTCAGCTTTGTGCCCCTTAAGAGTTGGTCCTGCCACCCACCCACCCGTCCCGCAAAGGCTGCGGCAATGGTACTGCCTGTAATAGCAAGTTTATTATTATTTCAACCCCATGGCTTTGCTCAGGGATTGCACTGAAAAGATATGACCCAAGTGGCACAGAGGCTGGCACGTGCTGGAGTGTAAGGAGACTGTAAAATGAGGTTGGGGGGTGCAGACGGGCGAGGGTGGCATTGGTTACACAGAGCAGTTCTAAAGGCAGCAGAGGTGGCATGGAAGGAGCTGAATGGGCTAAGGCAGCTGGGCACCCCCTCCTCTGCCCGATGGGGTTGAGGTTGAGGCAGCGCTTCCACCTGTGTACCGTACGTCCCATGAATAGCGCCTCCCAAAGGCACTTGGGGCAGCTGGGGGGGGGGCTGCAGTCCTGCGCCAGCCCCTTTATTTCTCCTGCATCTTCTCGAGGATGGGGACAATCATGTCAAATTTAGGGCGCTTGGCTGGGTCCTCATTCATGCAGATCTTCATTAGTTTGCAGATGTGGGGAGAGATGCCTGGAGGGATGGTGGGTCGCAATCCCTCCAGGGCCACCTGTGGAAAGACATAGTGAGCACATGTCGGGTGCATGTGTCCGAGCTGTGCATGTGCACGCCCACTGCTACCCCTTTCCAATGACTTGCCTTCATGCCGATTTCCATGTTTGAAAGGTCAGCAAAGGGCACCTCCCGGGTCACCAGTTCCCACAGCAGCACTGCAAAGCTCCACATGTCGGCCGAGCGCCGGTTGATCTCCTCTGCCTTCTTCTGCAGAGCTGCAAGGAGGAAGAAGAAGCAGCAGAGAAAGGGGAAGTGCTGGCACAGGGAGGCAGGTCCAGGGAGGGCCCAAGAAGCCGCCTCTCCGGCAGTGGGCAGGCCAGGGAATGGCCTGGTGGGGGGTGGGGCTGCAGCCCTCCTGGGAAGAGGAGCACATGGGCCTACCCCCCTCCCCGGTCTCAGTAGCGGGGAAGGCCTTGCTCACCCTCGGGTGCCACCCATGCTGGTGCATACATCCTGCCTGGGCACTGGAAGGAGAACTTCACATCCGCCATGCTGATCCGGGCCGTCATATCCTCATCTATCTATTGCAGAACAAATAACTCCTCAGAGGTTATGAGCTGCGCAAGGTCCCGCTCCACCCGCCAAAAACATTTCCAGGCCTGCTCACCATGATGCTGCGGCTGTTGAGATAGTGGCGTGGGATGAGAGGCTCCAGGGTGTGCAGGAAGGCCATGCCACGGGCCACGTCCAGCGCAAACTTCACTGCCTGGGCCTGATCCACCACAAAGTCTGCAGAGGGAGGGAGGGAGGGAGGGAGGAAGTGACTCCGGGGAGGTCAGCAAGACCGGGACCCCAACCAGGTTGTTTCGGTTGAGCCTTTTCCCCAGAGACTGATTGGGGAGCAGGCAGGCCCTACCCCGAAGCATCTGTTTCTGGCCCAGAGGACAAGGTCTTCCACCAACAGTTGGCAACAGCTTTGCAAATCACGTATTTTCCCTCTGGAGCCAAAAAAGCTGCGCTGAAGGCTCTGCCTCCCCAGTGGCAGGGAGAGAGAGAGAGTCCGAGAGAGAGAGAGAGAGAGAGCAGCCCCCCCCCCGACCTGACTTACTGGTGCCTTCGTGGAGGACGTTGTAGAGGGAACCGTAAGGCATCCAGTGGGTGATGATGATGGGGTGGGGCGCTGGCGGCGACTGGCAGGCACCAAGCACTGGCAGGACGTTGGGGTGGGAGAATATCCTGCACAGACAAAAGGGCCTAATAAGGGACTGCCCCCCCCTACACCCACCCCCCCAACCAGCCAGGTCTTTTTTTCATGGCCAGGTGGAGGCTCCGGAGGGGGGCTGCCCGTTTGGCAAGTGCCAGGGGCTGCCCAATTAATTAGGAGAACCGCTGCTGGCCGGGGGAGGCAAGCAATACCAAGGGCCGGGCCTGAGCCGAATCCAGGCCTCGGCCCTCCCTCTCCCCCCCGACAGACAACCGGCCCTCCCCTCACCTGAGCTTTGGATACTCCTCGTTGAAGTCTCGGCTCTTCCGGGTGGTCCAGTCACGGATTTTGAGCACCTTGATGACAATGTCGTTGCCCTGCCAACGCCCTTTCCAGAGCTGAGGGAAAGACACGGGTCAGCGGGAGATGCTGGAAGCCAGGAGTGGCAGCCCGGGGGGGGGGGGCGGAGGGGGGAACAGTAGAAGGGAGAGAATCCCCTAATGCTCTGGGCTGAAAAAGAGAAAAGGGGGTCCCAACCTCTCCCGACTGGTTCTCGTTGAGTTTGTGGCCCAGGCTCAGCTGCCTGAAGTCAATGCCAGCCAGCTTGTTCAAAGTCCCGTTGCCTGAAAAAGAAGACCATGGGTGTGTGTGTGTGTGTGTGTGTGCAATCGGTGCCTCCGAGCAGAACAGTCCCCACGGCCTAGACTTGCCCCCAGCCCCCGCCCCCAACCAGACCCCGATCTGTGCTCTTCCACACGGAGCAGAGAACACTTACGGGGTCGGGTTCGTGTGGTGCCCTTCCAGAAGGTGTCCTTGTAAGGAATGCGGGTGAGGCTTTGGCCCAACTTTTCCGCACGCTCTAGAGAAAGGGGAGACAGCGGGAAGGGCCGGGTTCAGGTTTCAGGAGCCAGAAGCCACGAAGCACTTCCAGGCCCATCGGTGCTTCCCCCTCCTCAGCTCCATCCACTACACCACACGGGATACACACGAACAAAGAGGCTCCTTAGGGAGGGGTGCGGCGCAAAGGCTCTTGAGCACATCTGGCAAACACTGGGCTGCAAAGCTGCTTATATACCGCCCCCCCCCATAGCGCTTCAAGCACTCTCTGGGCGGTTTACAAGTTAATCATGAAGGCTGCACATTGCCCGCCCACCCCAGCGAGCTGGGTGCTCATTTGACCGACCTCGGAAGGAGAGAAGGCTGAGTCAACCTTGATCCGCTACCTGGGATTGAACCCCAGGTCGTGAGCACAGTTTTGGCTGCAGGACAGCGTTTTTAAGCACTGTGCCATGAGGCTCTTCACTCTGCGGGTGTTCCTTTTGCTCCTTCCCCCCCACCCCCAACCCCATTGATAAAAGACAGGAGGAAGCAAAGCCCCAACTTGGAGAAGCACAGGGCAGGGGAAGGGATCCCAGCGTCCAACCCTTGAGAGGAATCAAGGAATCCACCGCCAAAGCACCCCGAGAGGCGCCTCTCTCCCGCGCTCTGTTGAAAAACGTCCAACGATGGACCCCCCACCCCATCCCACCCCACCCCACCAATGGTCTTGCCAAGCAGCTCTTGTTGTCATCAAGGGCTTGCACGTGTTTCATCACATGACTTGAATCCATAAGTTTGGGTCCCGCTCTCTGGCGCTGCAGAACACAAAGCTGCCCCCCGCGTTCCAACCTTCCACAGGCCAGGCCTTTTTGAGTACAGTACTGAACGCTGCCTTACAAGGAGGAATTTCTGCGGGGCAGGGCCAGGGGCAGAGGCCCTCTTGCCTCGCAGGCAGACCGAGGCCATCTTGACCATTGGGTGGAGGCCCAACTCACCTCTCAGCAGTTCCTGCAGCGGGGGCTTGGCCTTGTCCAGCGGAGTCTCCCCATACTTGTTGCAGATGCTGACAAGGGCTCCGGCCATCACCAGATCCTGGCCAGAGGCAGGAAAGGCATGCATGAGGGGGCTGCCCGACACCCCCATCCAAACCCCTCTGCAGGGGATCAGAGCTCCCTCCTCCTCCTCCTCAACGGCTACTTTGCCACATTTACTCTTGGCCATTTTGCACTGTGTTGTGTTTGCTTTCTTTTAGCTTTGTAAATTTCTGGAAAAGTTGGTATAACCATTAGAAACATACATATTCTAAATGGAAGGTTGGCTAGAAAATTGGACAAGAAAAAAAAGCAGAGATGAGAAAATTGACAAAATTATCAAACAAAAACAAGGTCAAGAAGTAAAAGAACGGGAACAGTCAGTATAATTTATAAAATACATTCAGGATACGATCAAACAACGATGAAAAATCAGTGGCAGGAGGATTTTGAAGAAGAGATTAAAGGAGAGGACTGGAATAAGATATGGTCACAAAAGATTAGGTGCCTATAAGGGTACAAGAAAAATTTTTATAAGGTAGCATGGAGATGATATTTAACTCCAGCAAGATTGAATATAATAGATAAAAATGTACCATCCCAATGTTGGAGATGCAAAAAGGAAAAGGGGACTTCTATGCACATGCGGTGGGAGACGCGTGAAATAAGGAAGAAAGAATGGGCACGGGTTTTTAAACCAATTAGAAACATTCTTGGATGCAATGTTCACGTATTGTTGAGTATTGCTCTCCTTAATATAATTAAAATGATCATTTGAAGAAAGATCAGAAAGAGTTAGCAGTTATAATGGTTACTGCACCAAGATTAATACTTGCAAAGAACTGGAAAAGTGATAAACAAATTAATCTTGAAGATTGGTATAAAATTGGTATAGAGAGCTTAGCAATTGATGATAAGTTAACACATAGAATGAAAATAAGGGGAATGGTAAAGGCTAATGGTTTCAAAGATATACAGAATTTATACTGTACTTGGAGTATGTCTTTTCCGTGGGGAAAAGTTATAGGCCAGGAAAAGAATCCATGTATTTTTTGAGAGGAATAGGGTGAAAAGTTGTAAAATTATATTATTGGTTACCTAGTCTGGACGGTGAAGGTGGAACAGGTGGGGAAAGTTTAATTTGTATTGCATATACTTTCTACTGATTTTAAGTTAGTGTTGTTATTTGTTATATTCCTTTAACAATTAAAAAAAACGGACAAAAGATCATATGTGTGTGTGTGTGTGTGTGTGTGTGTATACACACACATATATATATATGCACACGCACAGAGAGAGAGGGAGGGAGAGAGAGAGAGAGAGAGAGAGCTCCCCCTCCCCGGGTTCTCCCCGACCCCCGTTCCCTGGGCACCTGTCTCCTTCGGAGGTTCACAGAGGGGAGGTCTCCTTACCTCAGCCACCTGCTGGTGGGCCCAGAAGCAGGCGTAATGGAGGGGGCTGTTTCCATGCTCATTCACTGCGTTGATATCAGCCTTGAACTGGATTAACTGGGCAGGGTTGAGAAGGGAGGAGAGAGTCGGCCAAGGCAGGACACGTCCCCCTCCCCAAAGAGACGCACCCTCAGCCAGGCCCCAAGAAGGAGCAGGTGGCTAGTCTCCCTTTTCCTCTCCAGCATGCCAGATGGACCACCGGTGGGTGGGGGGCATATCCCTCCCTCCCCCGCGCCATACCTTCTGGGCAATGTCACGGTGGCCGTGGCTGGCTGCCAGGTGCAGGGGCGTGTCGTCCCCCCGGTTCATGACATTGATGCGCGCACCTCTCATGACGAGCATGTCCACCACGCTGGAGCGGCCCTCCCGGCAGGCCCAGTGCAGAGGACTGAAGCCGTGGTCATCCCTGGGTTGTGGGGGGGGGAAGAGAGGAAGGGGAAAGCGCCGTCTCAGTAGGGCCCAGCGCCAAGGGAAGGGCCCGTCAGAGCTGCCAGGGAAGCCGACTCGCTCTGGGGCCGGCCAGACACGCGGCCACGGTAGGCCGGACACAGGAATCTCTCCCTCTCTCCCCCCCCCTTTTCCTCCCTCTATGCTCTCACTTCACAGCCAAATGTGGGAGGAGAGAGCGAGAGAAGGAGGCCAGGCCTT